TTTTTATGTTTTGCCTGAACCCACAAAAAATTATATAACAATTTTTTCAATTCCATAATCAAAAAAGAAATAACCCAACTGGAAAATGGGCAAAGAATCTGAATGCACATTTCTCCAAGAAGACATAAAAATTGCCAAAAAGCCCATGAAAGGATGCTCAACAAAGTTCAGCTATCAGGGAAGCATCAGTCAAAACCACAATGGGACATCATTCTGTGCCCACTAGCCTGGCTATAACCAAAGAGACATAATAAGAGTCAGCAAAGGTATGGAGAAATCAGAACCTTCATACATTTCTGGTGGGACTATAAAATGGTGTAGCCACTTTAGTAATAGTCTGACAGTTCCTCCAAAGATTACCCATTGAGTTATCACATGACCCAGCCATTCTAGTCTGGGGCACATACCCACGTGAACTGAAAACATACCTCCACACAAAAACTTGTACTCAGATGTTCCTATTTAACCAAAGGGCAAACAATCCAAGTTTCCATCAACTGATGGGTGGATAAATAAAATACAGACTGCCCGTACAATGGGATATTGAGTACTCAGCCATGAAAAGTATGCTACATATTACAACATAGATGAACCTTGAAAACATCATGCCAAGTGAAAGAAGCCAGTCAAAAAAGACTGGATATTGTATAACTCCATTTATATGACATATCCAGAATAGACAAATCCATAGAGAGAAGGTAGATGGGTGTGGACCTCCAGACCATTGGAGCGGGGGAGAGGAAAGGGGTTCAAGGTTTGTTTCCTGGGTGATGAAAATGCTCTAAAACTGTGAGGGTGGCAGCACAATTCTGGGAACATACCGAAAACCAGAGTTATCTTTAATTATGCAACATTTTTCATCCTGACTTTTCTAAGAGTTTATCTCTCTTTCTGACATTCTAAGTCAATCTTTTAAACACTCCAGCATCTGGCACACATTTCACATATACAGAAGACAAATGGTTTCTCCTTTGAACAAGATAAAATACCCTATCTGGAGCAAAACCACCTTTACTAATTGTAAATCTGGTTGTAGATCTAATTGTAGCTTAATCATATACTTTAACTTGCTGTCAAAATATTGGTGATAAATTTCAGAAGTCATAAAATGTCTACCTCTCACTTTTTCCCATTACATCTACAAAAAGACTGTGTTATATTTTAAAAGTTTACAATATTTATTGAGAAAAGCATGTACACATTCCATTTTTATTATATATGTAATTTTATAAAACTATTGGTTCACATTCAAAAGGTCTAAAAAGAGGCAGAAATAATAGTAGGAATTCTGGACAGATGTCAGAATTCTTGGTAAGTTTTTAAAGCCTTCAATAAAATAGTCATTTTTTTCAATTGAGAAGGAAAAAAATATCCAATAAAAGTAAGAACAAGCTTTTCATACATCAAATAAGCCAGAAGTGATTCTTTAAATTAAATTCACCACATGCTGAGTTTATAGTCCTAGAAAATGTTTGACTCTCTTTATCTATCTAATAGACATGATTTAAAATAATAGTTATAATCAACTCTTCTCTCCCCTCTGCAAAGTCTCCCAAACTTGATCCAGGGTGACCCCCTCTGGAGATGAGAGAGAAGTTCAGCTTCACCTGTCCCCACATGGTTCCACCAAAGAAAAACTCTTATTAAAGTACCTGAGTTACCATCTCTCCTTGGTCTAGCTCATGCTAGCCAATCACCAGAGACAACATAATTGCCCACACTTTATGAAATGAGGGAAAGAAATTCACATCCAAATCATCAAAACACAGAGAGATAATGAATTGATTCAGATCCATTTGACCTAATTTATCTTGCTTGAACACAAAGAATGTCCAGGAAAATATCTGTTATGTAATGAATTTCTGCTTCAGTAAAGTGTTCATGAAAACAGTGATCACCAAGAACTCCTGGAGAACCAGTCTTATTTATTTAAATAAGACTGGTTTAAATAAATATCTTTTAAATAAAAGATATACCATACTTCCTATTTTAACAATTTATCCTAGCAATTCCTTATTGCTGATATCGACTCTGTATTTTAAATATGGACCCTACAAATTACAAATGACACATCTGTTACAGTGTTTGTATACATAGAGGGTATTACCATGTCTTATAATTAGTCACTCGAAATCACCCTCACTCGTGTTTGACTCTATGCACGTGTCCCTGCTTGGTGCTTGGGACACAAAGAGATGCTAAAAGGTGACCATGTTTGTAAGGAATTCGGCACAGGCAGAAAGTCAGGACATAAAGTTAAATAGATAACTACTGATAACACCAGCCCACAAATATGCCCCAAAAATCATTCCAGGGGTTCCAGGGTGGCTCAGTCAACTAGTTGGGCTTCTAGCTCTTGATTTTGACTCAGGTTATGACCTCAGGGTCATGAGGTCCAACCCCACCCTGGCTTCTGTGCTCAGTGTGGAGTCTTCCAGAAAGATTCTCTCTCCTTCTGCCCCTCCCCCAGCTCGCTTGCACATGCCTGCTCTCTCTCTCAAATAAATAAATATTAAATCTTAAAAAAGAAAAAAAGAATCATTCCAGTGTATTTTCTTTCACCCAGTAAGAGAGATGAACCTCGTGCCCTGGTTGGGCAGGGATATTGGCTAAGAACTCCTTGAGGGTGGCATTTGGGCAGGCAAAAAGGAAGGAACCAGTGGTCCAGACCTAGAGCTTGTTGTGTGAACCAGAGCACAGGAGCAGGAAGAGCGAATAGGCCAACATAGCTGAAGACTAAGGATGAGGTAGAACATTCCACAGGGGTGCTAAGGCCATCCTGAGCTAGAGCTTACAAGCCAGGCCAAGAACTTGGTGTCCTTTTCCAGCAATGTGAAACCATAGGCAGGGAAACCAGTTTAAATATTGCATTGACCAGGATTTGAAGCAGCAGGTCCTAATCCCAAATAGCAGAATCAGGAATGGAGAAAAAAGAATTTGAGAGACTTTATTAAAAAAAAAAAATAAGAAGAAAGAAAGAAAGAAAGGAAAAAAAGATAACAAAAGAATTTGTCCTTTGCTGTACATCTAGCCAATCATTTAAGAAGAAAGTAGGGGGAGGGGAAGGAGATAACATCATAGTTTCAAGAAAAGTCCAACTTCAAACAGGCTTAGGGGAAACATAAGATTAGTTATGCAGAAACAGCAAGGATATGTTTTCAATAAAAGACCCTATGAGTCACCAGTACATCTTATCCTATTTTTTTAATGAAACACACAAAAATATAAACTTATGAAACATACAATTTAGTGGGTGAATTTGGCATTGCAAAAAAAAAAAAAAAAAAAAAAAAGGCCACCCATGGATTAATTGAAATAGGCCAAGTCCTCTAATACTTTCAATCTAAAGAGTTTACAAATAGATACATGATTACCTGTTTTTTCTGTCTAAACAGCACAGTTCACATAGACACACACACACACACACACACATGCACGAGGAGATACATTTATAGGCTACTGATTATACAAGTCCTCCTTTGACTTCCCCATGGGTATTAATAAGCTTCTTCAGCTCCTTTAAGAGGCTTTTTTAGGACTCAGATTGTGTGCAAATGTGCAATCTGAGCTTTCAACCAATTTATGAGAACTCTCAGATCAAAACCAAAGTCTCAGATAAATGAGGGGAAGTTGTGTTTTTCTGATCTCCTCATAAACATCTTTTCATCCCTTTAGCCATAAGCCCAGGGATGATTTTATGTTGGAAGCACAACACAGAAAGGAAATAAGAAAAAGTTTGTTAACCGAGAGTTCTTAGAGTAAGTGCAAGTTCTAACCCTACAACCCATACAACTCCCCACCATGTTACTCCATCCAACCACCATTCTGGGGAAGGCAGAAGGGGGAGGGGAGCTCAGGGAGGGTCTTAAAAGAGTCCCAAGAACTTTATAAATTTCTCAAAGCATATTTCATTTGCTTTGATTTAAAAACAAGGTAATAAATGCATACCATGTATCACTTCAGGAAGAGAAAGTGGGAAAAAAGTAGAAAGTTAAAAAATCAAAACATATTACATGTCAGGCACTCAGCAAAACCTGATTCAGCATCTGCATCCCACATACTGTGCTTGGCTTCAGAAGTACGATGGTGAGCATCACCTGGCTCTCCCTGCACTCAGGGATTAAAAGCACTTAGCAATTACCATGTAGTAGGAGACGCAAATATTAGCCAAAAGATCTCACTAATAAATACATAAGGATGGGCTAAACAGTGCTGGGGGGGAAAGATGTCTGAGGCTTTGAAAGCAGGAAAGAATGGGGATCACTGGGGTAGACACTGGTAGAACCGAGTGCAATTAAAAGGAGGAGAATTCTGCAAGAAAAAGCTACGTGTGATTAAAATTAGAATGCTTTAATTAATTTAATTATTAGGACTCTGTAATTTCCTACAGCAGAACTGGAATGGTAATGGAAGCTATAACATTAAAACAAACAAACAAACAAACCTCTTCAGGCTACTGGACTATAAAATGCAGTTAGTCGACTAATACATTTATATTATTCCAAAGATCTGTCCTATAGGCTTCCTTACTTGACTTGATGCGGGAACTCCTCCATTAAGCATTATCAAAATTCACTCCAAGACAAAGTGCTCTGGGGCCTTTGGGCACATGCACAGGGAGCATAGTGTGACTGTGGGTGGTATTCTGGTATTTTTAATTTCCTGAACTAAAAATGCTTATTAAAAATTTAAGTTTCTGTATGAAAAAATTAAAAAATTTTTTTTAAAAATTTAAGTTTCTGGTCAGAAGTCTTCCTACTGTTCTTCTCAGTACTCCATAAAGTAAAGCATTTTGTCTTCAGCAGTCCCATTTGGATCTTTTCTGTAATCAAGCATGATATACACAGAAGTGGCCTAGTAACCTCTGACCCACAGACTCTCCCTTGCCCCCATCCCTCCCTCTTACCCTCAAGCTCTGCCCGTTCCTTCCCTGCCTCCCCCAGGTCCATGACCAGCAGACAGTACTCAGAGGCAAGAGCATTCAGGGGGGCAGTACTCACTTCCTTTCCTCAAGCAGAGCGATTTCCTTTTTGACCTCATTGTATTCTTCCGCTATTTGGCAGTGCTGTTTGAACACCTGCATGGATTCCGCGGAGTCATGACAAGGCGGCAGAGGCTTCACAAACAACAAGAAGAAGAAATCAGTCCATTTCTTCGCATCAAATATATTATCAATGATTTCGCTCCACTGATGTCCTTTAGAGGGACTTTTTTTTTTTTTTTTTTTTTTTTTGCCTAAGAATAGCATCGTTGGTCAACACTGGACAGAGTTTGGCTGATTCTACTTGACTGAAAATAGGGAGGTGGGCTGACGTTTCCCCACATTCACCTTCCGGTGTCATTCATGGGCTTTCTCAGGCCTGAGCCAGAACAGGGAGGCCCAGGACATGCTCATTATTGGCCATGCACTGGAGTAAAAATAGGTCATCTAATAATTCTCTACTTCTCCCCAGAAATCTTAAACTCTGCGAAATATTTCAGTGGTCTGCTTTAATTATCCCCTGCTTTCTATACCTGTAGCCCAGAGGCATAGTCTCATCTTGGAGAATGGAGTAGCCCTACGAGAAAGGCTCTCTTCTGAGAAATGCAGACAAACTGAAGAAATGTTGCTGGGCTGGAAATAAAGGATTAGCAAACCCCATGAAAGACCCAAACCTCAAGTGAAACAATGCTTGTCACATGTGAGGCCAAAGAGAATGTGGATTTTTGTCTTTTTTTCTCTCTCATCCACAAGGAAAACAAAGGCCAGGAGGGAAAGCCTTTAAACACTTAACATGTGGAAATCCTACTCCTTTCCAGAAGTTATTTTTTAAAGAACTAGCTTTCCTTGAGTTTGTAATTCTAATTTTTACTTCGGAACACATTATTAAAAACATTACCTTAAGAAACACTAGCTAATAGTCTTTTAAAGAGTGTTTTAATCACCCTAGTCAATAATTCACAGAAAATGGCATATACCTCTCAGAAATAACAATTTCATTATTGAGTGGGCTCTCTGGTTGAATCCTTTTCTTGTTATAGTCTATATATCTAAGTATGTGTCTGACTAAGTCATATTTTCACTAATTTTATATTCAGAAATTAGGAAGTGATGCATTTCTTCCTGCTTTCTCCTCTCTTTATATTCTTTGAGGACAAAGATTTCTTCAGGTATTGTATTCAGCAACCCCACGAGGATGTAATAGAAATTCTATGAAGTTCTATAAAATCCTATAAAGTCTGATCAACAGATAAGATGACCCCTCTTATTTATCATGAGGCCTCTGACTAGAGGTCTTCTAAAGGAAATAAAATTTGAAATAAATTTGCATGGAATTTACCTCCATGTGGTACATTTCATATCCAAATTCATGGAAAATCTAATAATAGTTGCATTATGGAGAATCTTTCCCTTCTGCCCCATGAACACATTTACAACATGAACTCAGCCTGTTGGAACACTATCATCTCTCTTTATAGAAATAAATTGAAAAGTACTGCCCAGTAATATTACAGTATAATGCACCCCATGAAACAAAGCTCTTGCCAAAGGAATTCAGAACTCCTGGCTCCTCTGGTCTATGTCCTAGAAATCACCACCCCCTCATCAATTCTCACCTATTACCCTGGCAGATTACCAGGTATAACAGTAAGGAGAATGAAAACAATTTACTCCGGGCACCCTAGCCAAGTTGCTATTAAATCATCTGTGTCCTCCGTCCTCACTTGAAGGCCATAAGACTCTTTGCATCCTATTTCCTGTCCTTACAAACATCACGTAGACTATATTCAGCTCATTCCGTAACTTGCTAATACTTGTAGGTCCCTGAGTCACAAAATCAGCATAGTCACCTATGTGACAGCCAAAAGATTCTAGGATTCTGTGCAAAGGGTTCATGTCCTTAAGAGGAAATAAATGAATGTAGCCATGTACAGGAAGAAATGCCCTTGGCTGCTATGATCAAGAGGGAAAACTGAAAGTTACATATACGTGTGTCTGTGTGTGAACATACAACACTATGTCATAAAGTTATATAAATAATTTTCTTAAGTTCACATATATAATTCTCTTAAGAAGAGAATATACATTTACATATATAATTTTCTGAAGAACAGAGTGGTCTTTTCCCCCCTTAGCTTTCTACTTTGCAATCCTTTTTACTAGTGGGAATTTTTTTTGTCTGTTCTGATTTACTGACACTTCTTAATTGTGGGAAATTTGAAGATATTACATATAGGTAGTGTGATCGTGCTGCTAAGGGTACATGAGGATAAGGAGACTTTCAGAATAGATTCAGTATCCTCATATGCTCTTAGCAGGATGATCATGCTACTTACACAGAACACTATTTTCAACATTTCCCACAATTAAAAAGTAGTGCCAATTTAAAAAGGAAAAGCCAAAAATACTTAGTGTTCAGTATCTCAGGGAATAAAAGAATGCCAGGTGTCACTTCAAGCCTCCAGCTCCCACAAGCTCTGTCTTCACCCAACCTGGCATGTAACTCAGCACCACTTTCAGTTCTCTCAATTTGTATGAAAGCATTAAAGCGCAATAGAGTCGGTTTTCTTAAGCAAGGAAGGAAGTTACATTGCATAGCCCACCACAACATTGTAAAGTCATTTCATTAGATGCCGGGGGCTGGGAGAGAAGTAGGGGACATGAGGAGCTATTTAACGGGTATAGAGTTTCAGTTTTCCAAGATGAAAATGTTCTGGAAGTTAGTTGTACAATAATGTGAATAGACTTAACATTACTCAACTGTACACTTAAAAATCACCAAGAAAATGTGTTATGTGTTTCCACCACAAATTTAAAAAGTTAATGCAAAAAAAGAAAATTATCTTTAGAGCTTTCTGCTATCCCTACTCATCTTCTTTTTTTTTTTTTAAGATATTATTTATTTATTTGACAGAATGAGAGAGATCACAAGTAGGCAGAGAGATGGGGGAAAGCAGGTTCACTGCCGAGCAGAGAGCCTGATGCGGGGCTCAATCCCAGGACCGTAAGATCATGCCCGGAGCTGAAGGCAGAGGCTTAACCCACTGAGCCACCCAGGTGCCCCCCCACTCATTTTCTAAGAATTGCTGCAAAGATTCACTTTTAAGAATTGTGGCAAGGATTCGCTATCTGAGGCTCACTTCATATGCAACCTAATGCTCCCTCCTTCCCAAATTTCTCCCCAGGGAACTTAAAGTTTCTCATCCCTTTATGTCTACAGTCATTCACCACAAACCCTAAATGTCATTAGACAAAACAAAGTACCCCTGGTAGCAGGATGCACTGTCGTTGGAAGGCATTTGATGTTTATCCCAGTCAAAGAAACTCCTCAGAGCATTGTTAAAATACATATGGTTCCCATCCCAACACGAATTCTGATGAAGAGTATTAAGATATTTAGGTTTAGGGGAGCCTGGGTCACAAGTAGGCAGAGAGACAGGCAGAGAGAGAGGAAGGGAAGTAGGCTCCCTGCTGAGCAGAGAGCCCGATGTGGGGTCCGATGCCAGGACCCTATCCCAGGACCCTGGGATCACCACCCGAGCCGCAGGCAGAGGTCCCAACCCACTGAGCCACCCAGGCGCCCCTCTATTAGTTTCTTGGAATAAAAATTAACTCATATTTTTGCTTTAATGCTCATTGCTTCATTTCGACTATTCCATCCGAGAGGCTTTCGTAGTCGTCATTCGCTGGGAACAAGCAAAGAATAAATAAACTCTTCATGTTGACAGTGAATTTCTTTTCACATTAGGAGAAAATATTTTTCCTTATTTTATCCATAATTACTACCTCCTCCCACACTCTGGATACATTTCTCCCACACTCCTGCCTAAAGGATGAACTACTGCATCCCAAAGACAAGGAGTCCAAAGATACTTGATTGGAAAGTGAAAAGGTAAAGGTATTCTTCATGCACTAGAGCACATGTCCTGTGGAATCGCAGAAACGACCCTTCATACTCTCTTAATGCTTTGGTATCTAGCCTAATCACAATACAGCAGTTCTAAGAAGGTTAAATCAAGATATTCTCCTAATAACAACTCAAGCCAACTTTGAGGCACATTTTTCCAAGACCCAGATTGAGGTTGGAATGAGGTCAGAGCCCAGGAGGGGGCACTTGCTCCACACTCACCCCCTATCCTCCTCTCCACCCCATCCCACAGGTGCCTGAGGATGGAACTTGTAAGGGCTTTAAATTACACACGCAGTGAGTGAATCGCTATTACCCCTGGTATCCACCCAATCAACAGGACAGATTTAACAAGATGAAGTAAGAGAGAAACCGCAGGCTCCTCTTCCAAGAATGCTGGCTTGAGCCACACCATCCCATCTCTGCTCTCTGCCTGGGAGTTTATAGCAAGCTCCTCCTGAAATGGACTCCCGTCCTCTAGAAAGTGCCCCGTGGGAAAGAATCAAGCCAAGCATCTCTCTGCAAGGGGCAAAGCCAACTTGAGTGCTTCCGTTTTCTACTTGGCTTCTTCAAATACTACTGGCCCCATCTACTTCAAAAAATGTAAGAATTTGATTTTCCTCTCCCAGCTTCCCACACAGAAGATTATATTTAGGAAGCTAAATATTCTACAGTTGCTGAGCAGACTTTTTATTTGTTCCTTGAATCTCAGTGTTATCTTTATTTGGGGGGGTGGGGGGTGGAGGTATCTGGTTTGAATTTATGTTGCATTTTAATGTCCCCAAATGAAAAGGTTCAATTTGTTAAAACTAAAAGGAAAAAAACATCATCAGGACTAATCACAATATTTGAAAACTCTGTTATCTTAGAATTTAAAACACTTCTGAAAATATTTTAAGAATTGGCACTTCTATAGTATCTACCTGATGGCCAGAGTCAACACTAGTCATTGTACCACATATCTTCTATAGAATTGAAATGAAGGATATTTAAGTCATTTTTATTAATGTAAGCAATATTAAAAGGAGAGATTACTCAAGAGTGTCTCATTTTTATTAATGTAAGCAATATTAAAAGGAAAGATTACTCAAGAGTGTCTCTTTCCAATAAAGCATCTTATTGGATGGCTATTAGGCTTCTCAAAATAAGCAAATAAATAAATAAATAAATAAAAGTAAGATACCATAGTAAAGCTCCAAGGTATCTGGCTATATTTTCCATGTGGTCA